AAATTTGTGTAGGCAAAAAATCATATACAAGGCCGTGCTAAATAAAACACTACATAATTTCAATATCCCGCCATTTCGGTACCAGTTACTCGACTTTCTTGGGGCGATGAATACGCTTTTGCAACAAAATCCCAGAAAATAAACAAAATTTGACGTAAGTACACATAGTTTAAAAACTTTATTAAACTAAGTTTGTATAAAAAGGGTTATTTTAATATTAAGGAATTTATGGATGATAATAACTCCTGGGAAGGGTGATCGCTACCAAGCTATTTCTAATTTGTTTTCTGTTGTTAATTGTAACACGCATGATTGTAAGCTCTTATTTTTATTTAAACTAGTCCCGTTGGGTTTATTGCTGGTTCTTCCCAGGACAAAGGTTTCTTTTGCAAACCAGTGGTAAATGAAAAAAGTGACTTTCAAAAAGTATTATTAATAATCTATATTGAATAAAAAAAGTTTCTGTTTCTGTTTCCAGAGCTTACTGTGCGTAATTTTGTGATTTTTTGTTTGTCTTCTCATTTTGTGACTCGGTTTTAACTTTTTGGACTGTTTCTTCTATAATAACTTTTTGTACGTGGTAGAGCCACGCTACATCTATATTATAGTTGTAGAACGAATGGGTCAAACAGGGCAGGACCACGCTCTCACAGAATACCAGCATAAAATAGTAGAACCGGAGACCCTTTTTACTGGAATTGAGGCATTCCATCTTAAGCCTCTGGAGTGACAACGCATTTGCATTTTGATTCTGAATTGAGAATAAATATGTATGTCTATGGGCCATAGCATCCACTTAACATCAGGTGGACTGTGTGCTCGTTTGTCACCCAATGCTATAAAAAATATTCGTTGAAGCATGTGCCCACGTCACAAAGGATGATTGGGCAAAAGTGGTAGAAAAAACCAAAAAATTGATTATGGATGATTTTGAAAGAGACATTAATTTTGTCTGCATTATTGAAATTCTAATAATAATTAGTATAACCAACGACATATCTACTAGTTTTACTGAAAGTTATTGAATAAATTTATTTTTAATCCAGTTTTAATCTTAGATTTTTATAACTGTGCCTCTAGAAATAAGCAGTAACAACAAATACGAAGAAACTGATAAATCTTGTGTTTTAAATTATCCGTTTTTAATTTATTCTGGTATTATTCAAACCAAACTAAATGATTACCAACTCTAAATAATCGATATCGATTTTTTAAAGAATCGAACATTGCACGTTCCCATTTTTTGGTTGGCATGCTTGGTGCAATAAATCTCACAGCTGTCAAAATGTGTTCTTTATTTCCTTAGATTTGGTTGACTATAGCACAGCGGTGACACTCCCTGTACGTGAGAGCCTTTGAGTATTCAACCAACTGGAGAGGCCATGCGCGTTAATTCCTAAACAAAAATTCTGTCAACATCAGGGGGGCGCAAGAAAACACACAACTGTAAACTTAAGTACAAATGCAAAATTAAATCATGTCACTATAAAGGCACACTACAACATTTGTGTTTGTGTTCATCGCGTTTACGCGTACCATCAAATTGTACACGTGTCGATACACTGATGGCGCTGTCTAAATGCGTAAGCAACGTATGGCGTGGACTATGTCGATGTTTTTTTATCGATAAACAAATCACCATAGTCCGCATAAGTTTTTATTTGATTATAAGTAGTACATAGATAAATAATACCAAGGTGTTATTTGAAATTCTTTTTTTAAAGTATTTAGAAATTTTCTTCGGAAAAAAACTTAGAAATTATTGAAAATAAGTTTATTATTTTGCTACAGGTTTATTATTATTATGCAGCATTATGCAGGATAAAATTTTAAGCATTTAACAAATCGAAATAGGTTTAGTTAACTTATTTTAAAAATCAGATTGTTTGAAAAGAAAAGTCAAAGTCAAAATCTTTAATTGCAGAATAAAATGTTTAGGTAATACAGGTATTTAGTATAAGAGTAAGTCTCAATAATATTCTACCGGGAGTTGTACCGGTGTGCAAATATATCTTAAAATAATCAAATTTACATATATGTCAAAAGATTAAATAAATTATATAATACTTTAAATTAATTAAAATATTCCTTAACACTATAATAACACTTGTCAAGAAGCCATTTATTAATCTCAATTTTGAATTTATTCAAAGGCATTTCTTTAAGTTATTGGGCAATTTATTATATATTTTAATAGCCATTATAGGAGCACTGTTTGCATAAAATCTAGAGCTGCATTTGGGATGAAATAATCTATTTTTATGCCTTGTTTGCCTTTCGAGAGATTCAGCGTGGGTTTTGAAGTAGTTCGGGTGTCGCTTTACAAAAATACATATTTCTCGAATATACATGCATGGCAACTGCAATATGCGTATCTTTTTGAACAAAGGCTTGCAGCTATCAAGAAACCACGCACCACATATCCAATCAGTTTATCCAAGCAGTATAACCAAGTTTTTGTTTTTATTATAAAGCTTCGTTATCACAAAACCGCTAATTAAAAATAGTTGTTGATTTTCAAGAGTTATTAAACGAACTGTTTGGAAAATATTTAATAAATTAGGAAAACAAAAAAGTTTTACACTATATAATAGTTTAACAAAGTGAACTTTAAGCAGACAGCTGCTTAAAAATAAATCGTGACATCTACCTAAGGCTAAGTATTCCCCAGAAAGATGTTTTGCTTTAACTTTACATTACTATTCACCGAAAGCTTAACAATATGTGCGAAATATCAAAAGTTCTGAAATTCGTCTGCCTTCATCACATACTATAACAAAGTGGTACGTACAATTGCCGGGCTAGCGTTAACTATTCTAAACGCTGGTAACCCTGATAAGAAATTATATTGTATATTAGTGATAGATGAAATGAAAATAAAAGAATTGACGGAGTACCATGCAAGTTCTAAAAGACATTTTGGTTATATACATAATGCCTTTGGCTACTAGCATGGTATTCTGTTAATTGCTTAATTTTCATTTCATCCATTACCAAGGTACAATAAAAAAAATTATCAGGGTTACTCTCCGCTCTCAATTTTAATGCCGTCAGCGCTTCTTGAGTAAGCCCTGGTCGGCGATCGATGGTAGTGTACCACTTAGTCAATGTACGTGTGCAGGCAAACATGTTCCAAAAGTTTTACGTACATAGCGACAGGCTTTTGGTAAGTAATAGTTAAGTGTTAGGGCATAGTATTTCTTGCAAACTTGTGAAGCCTGTTTATGCTATTGTTTTTTATGTCAAGGCATTTTTTCATTCTAATTTTCCAGTGTTCACTCGTACTCGCAGTAGGACTAGTTCGGGCTATATAAGGATTTTTTTTTCGAATTGTGACTTTCGAGATAACTTATGGAATTTTGCCGGAACATCCAGCTTTCTTTTTTCGATGTAGACGATATTGTGCACTCACCACTAAATAACTATCTAAATAAAAACTACAAACCGGTTCGGCAGACAAACCCGCATGGTTAATTAACTTATCGATAGCTAAAGTTGCGGCGTGTAGCACTATGGTGCAATACTTTCTTTTGCAGTGATACCAGTTTATTTTTATAAAATGGAATAGGTAGGTATAGGTATATGTTATGTATTATGTAAACTTATGTATTTGGGTAGTGAAAGATACGTTCAATTTTAAATCAACTTTTATTAAATATCTTTACAAATGAGGAATATTAAAACTTCCGACAAAACCAAATATGCACGACAGTTAATAATAATTATAAATAATTAACCAGCACTTAGTATTTCAGTACGCAATAATCAGTATTACCTACTATCCTTTAAAAATTAATTTACTCGTATATATTTTTGAATTTTTCGATTAATTTTATAATTTTCATTATTTTTTCTAATCATTGCAAAAATTCGTAGCATGTATAATTTTTTAATAGATATATAGACAGTTATATATATATATATATATATATATATATATATATATATATATATATATATTTATTTATTTATTTATTTATAACCGTCGTATTAAGAAATCAGTAATATTCATATATTAATTGAAATATTATAATATCACTTAACGAATATATTCATATTAACTAATACTGACAAATATCGGTATAGTACTAGCCCCAGAGCAGTCGACGACTACCCGTTCCACGCCCCCCGCGCCTCTCAAGGCCCCCGCGCACATCCAGACACCAACACATAACCGCAAGCGATTTTACGTGTACACTGGCTTAAATGTCGTTTCTTTTCGCGTAGTGTATATATTCTTTGACTATAGTCCAGTATCTTCTTTCTTCAAGATTTAAACACAACCTAAATAAATACAGTCCACTTAGCTCTCATTCATTTACATGGTTTCTTTAACTTTATTAGTCAGTAATATATCACAATTTTTTAGTTTCTTCTTTCTTCACAAAAGTAAATTATAATAAATAATTAGTCAAATACAGTCCACTTAGCTCTTCATCCACTACAATACATATCAATGCTAATCGTTAATTGAAGCCCTCCTTTTCAGGCTTACTTCACGTACAAATTTCTAATTTTATACCTAGTTGTGGGGTAAATTTTTCCTCAAACTTAACCACCCTAAATATAGTGACGTATTTTTTTGTCTCTTTCTGCGACACGCTATGCCGGTGTCTATAGAATTCTCTGTCAACAAGTTTTAGTTTTACATTTCTTAACTTTCGTAAGTTTTGGTTTTGGTTGGATATGTGATAACGGTTATATACTTAGGTATATCGATATGATATGATATTTTGATAACATAACGTTATTAGTTACTTTTTGCTATGTCGGTCTCATGCCTACAATGCAGTAATCTGTGTAGGGTAGGATTCTCTGTCTACGTAGAGCGTAGACTAGTATTTAGTGATCTGTGGTGTATAGCTTGCTACATATTTATTTATCTATGGTGGTGTAGGGAATACTTTTTGATTTGGTAGCCAAAATAAATAAAAATGACTGTTTTAATTTAAATTAAATTATTATTATATAATAATTTAAATAAAATAAAATTAATAAGAATGGCTCAGCAAAGTGAAACTCTTGATTTTTCTGGCCTATTTAAATTAGATGTTTTAGTTCATCTTGATATTGTAAACCACAGCTTTTATGAAGTCGGCCTAAAAAAAATTCTTGCATTTGCAAGTGATAAAGAACTTGTTTTTTTGTACATAAATTCTCAATCCGAAAGGTTTGATCACGTTTATGATTGGGATTTTGTTGATAATCCTGTATATTGTATGTGTTTTGAACCAAGTGGGACCTGGGTTCTCATTGTAAGCGATCAAAAAGTGTTGTTAGTACCGTTTCTTCCGTTATTTACACCTGAAAATTTATTCGATTGTAAATGGTCTTCCACAAGAGTTTCTGTTCTACCCCTAGGAGATATACCACAACCAACATCTGTAGTGTGGTGGTTAACAAAGGAATCGGAAAATGTAATAATAATTGGATCTAAGGTAAAATTTAAATCTATATTATTTAATTTTAGAATATAATATTATTTTTAGGTGTATCTACAGATTCCTTGTCATCTAATTTTCGAAAAACCTCTGTGACAAATAATTGTAGGTTGTCTTCTTCAGACATTTTTGTAAAGTAGTTATATCACATAACCCCTCAGGCAGCCATGGGTAGTCTAATACCCAAATCGAAAGTGGCGTTAAACGACCATAGGTAATTCAGTACCCAAACGATCTTGCGTTCTAAAAGTTCTTACTGTCTATAAAATTAGCGTATCTTGATTTTTAAATAATTCTGTATTAAATTCCCAACCTTTGTTAATTCTAACAACACTCGTATCCATCTGCCAAATAATAAAAAATTACTTTATTTGAGCAAACAATTTTTCATACTCAACTCTTACAGAACTTTGAAAGTCTCGAGATTTTTTTTGTCTCCAAGACTGTGTGTTTTTTATAAATATTGCTTAAGAATGTATTCACAATGCATTAAAAAATATAAAATATATCGGTTATTGTTTTAAATATCGAAATATGCATATTTTAATGAACCAATGTGTCAAAATTCAACTCAGAATACTTTAGCGCTGATTATTTTCACAAGAATCTATAAATTTTAACAGCACTTGTACAGAAATAAAGATTCATTAATTCCCTTTAAAAAAAACACCGTTCAAGGGTTATTCCCCGCTGATGTAGTCATAAATAATGTTTTTGTAAACAATACTCAATGCGCCATATGTGTCGATTTATATGGCCGTTTAACTCCACCACGGGGTGTGCGGTTGGCCGCCTGAGCGGATAACAGCTGGTTAGCAAAACTGCAGACTGATCTAGTAGCAATAATGTCTTATACTGTTCCGCAAAATGTTAAATGAATGCTAAACAGTGCACAGGTTAAGAAGCATCAGATTAAAGTCATTTGGATGACAGAGATATTTAGATCAATGAACCTTGTAACAGATGAGGCAATCAGTTTGTAGAGGAATTCATTTTCTGGGGTTTGGAATACTGCGACTTTCAAAATCCTTTTGATTACCTATTACAGTGCCAATGAATTCAAAAGTCGCTATAGGTTTTCAAAAGATTTCTTAATAAATATACTTCTGCCTCTAATAAATGCAGATCTTTTGAAAGTTACCAGTAGAGGCCTTCCAGTGCCATCTATTTACCAGTTACTAGTGGCCTTAAGATTTTATTCACCTGGGAGTTTCCAGATTTGTAATAATAATTCAGTTAATCTATCTATCAATAGTTTCAAATCCACGTTGTCAATACTCCATGGAACAGTAAAATTTATAAAGGGACAAATTGCATCCACAACATTATCTGATAATAAAGTTGGGTAACCACTTTCTGGTGGTCCTCCACCTGTACGTCTCATATTTATTGACTCAAGGGAAAGCTCCTTCTTTCTTTGAGATTTTATATTTTCCCAACATCTTTTAACTGTATGTGATTCCTAGGTGTAACATAGGACTGTGCATTATAGGCGATCGTCAGTTCATCCCAGGCCTTCTTCTTTAATTCAATATTTTGAGCGTTATCCTCAATAATAGGGCGCTCCTGAACTAAAGCGACAATTAGTTCCCTTGCCGAAGAAGTAAATGGTAACTTCTTTGAACTGTAAGAAAACAACACGTGTTATTATTTGCACGAAATTGACAACGAAACAAACAGAAACATAAAATGTAATACTTACCATATTTTAGGTGATTTTGCATTCATTATAGGCAAGCAACTCGTATTCAAAATGAAAATAAAATAAAATTGTATAAGTAAACTATATTAGAATTCAAATGACTAAATAATATCTTGGTTGAGTGACGTTTAACTGTCATTCAACTCGAGTGAAGTCGCGTCACAACGTTAACCAATCACGGCGCCCCATTCAATGCTATGTGTCCGCACAACAAAGAGTCCACTAAGTATTGTTTATGAAATGAACGGCCTGCCATGACGAACGCAGTGAGAAATATCTTACTTAGCATAGTGTTGCTGCCATACTTATGTAAGTATCGTTCGTGAATACGGGTGTCAGACACTTAATAGCTGTTGCTAATGATACTATATATATTTTACTATATATATGTTGCTAATGATAATCTTGTTATTAAAATATAATTGTTCAATCGATTCTCATATAAATGAAAATACTTGTTTGCCTAATTATATTTAAAATAAAAAAAAATTTAATTTTTACAGTATTATATTTTATTTCATTATAATATACACTAATAATGTACACAGCTTTAGAGTGGCACTTTAGAGTGTCACTCCAGCCGCACCTTTAACCTACTGTCGCTGATATTGCAAGATTGATGTTAGTTTTACTAGATGCAAAAAGCCTAATCTTATGTGAAAGTATCAAAGTATATAAAAAATATGTACATATACTTTATTTTATTCAATTATCTAAAAAAAATAGATTTAAATTATTTTGGAGCAATAAAAATAAAAAGTTAAAAAAAGTTACAGCCTATATACGTCCCACTGCTGGGCTCAGGCCTCCCCTCATTTCTGAGAGGGTTTTAGGGCAAGGAAGTGTCCGCCGCGCTGCCCAAATGCGTGTTGACGAACTTCACATGTCTTCGAAATATTTTTTTTCTTATTCCTCAGACATGCAGGTTTCCTCACGATGTTTTCCTTCACCGCCGAGCACGTGGTAAATCAGCACTTAAAATTGCAATTAACAATTTCATTGGTGCCGGCGGGGATCGAACCCGGGTTACTCGCGTTCTGTTATATTTAAGCGAGCGTTAACCACTGAGCTACCACGGCTCATATAAAAATAAATTAATCATATATCATAAACCTTAATGAGAAAAAAAAATTATATCAGATTATCATTTGAATAGACACTATTCCTTTATTTTTATGTTATTTTATTGAATAAGGTACACAAACAGACAGTAGTTCAGACAGTTCTAAAATTAAAAGTAGGGTGGGTGCACCAGTAACAAACCAATTAGGTGATATTTTAGAAACAAATTTTGATGATGTGATCGAGATTTTTTTATTTAAAAATGAATGTGGCAAGTCGCAATGTGCCTAAGGTTTTTTTCTTAAGACGAGGCATGCAGCTAAACGCAAGTTTTATACTGCCTCAAAGTATATGATCCACTGCGGTAAACAAACACAGAAAAATATATGATATTTTTCTGGATATATGCTAGTTAGATACTGTGTTGAAAACATGATACTGCTAATTTAATACGACAGAAAAAAATCACAAATATACCTCTAAAAATTTTAAATTAAAGTAAAAACCATACTAGTATACATGCAATCATTCTGATTGTTTGTCAGATTTTTATACCTTCAACATATTAACGTTATAGTGTTTTAATTTTTTAGTCCAACTAATAGATTTTTCTTATCGCATATTTTTATTTCTCAAATAGTATGTATGGATGTTTGCATAAATTTTTTATTTATTTATTTCCCACTATACAATTATCTTTACAGGTTTATCACGTAATGCAATAATGTAGACAACTATTTTTACCGACTCCAACTACACCGTTTTAAGCTAATAATTTTCCATTATAAATATGTACTTATTGCTATTTCAAACACCGTATCTATATCACAGTAGTACCATAACTAATTTCAAATAGAGCTCTTACTATGAACCCGCCCAGAGTACAACAAAATATATCTATGTCTTCTGCTATACGGTTGAGGATACGGAGGGTGCCTGTAAACGGCGCTTCAGTCACCAGCTTAGTGCGGCCGTGCGGCACAGCTAGCAGCTGCGGCCGCCGCAGCCCCCACACGTATCTGTCTGGAACACATATGCGCACTTGTTGCAATACGTCTGGATTGTGAATCTTAAAGATATATGAAACAAGCACTAAATTCCTCCTAAACTTTAGCTCATTGTATCTTACCATACCTAAGGTGAATAAGGTAGGATACTTATTAGGGTAAAATGGGTATACTCCATACATTTTTGGTATAAATAAATGCCAAATAAATTACACTGTTAGCCTAGGCCTAATGCTATATAGACGTGTCGCTCTTTTTGCCATAGTATAATTTACGTTAAGATTTTTAAGGATGCGTTTACAAAATTGATATTACCTATATCAATTTTGTAAACGCAAAATCGCAAAAACGTAGAATCGAACTATTAGAAAGAAAGAAAGAAAGATTTATTGCAGCACGCCACAAACATCAGTAGGCACTTAAATTTTAACATTTGTGGACACATCAGTTATAAACATTATAACAAACAAAAACAAAAATAGGAAACAAAACAACAATTTGACGGATAAAACAATTTAAAAGTATGTATTTATGTATACTTATGTATACTTATTACATTGTAATGTAGTATAAGTATACTTATGTATACTTATTACATTGACACGGGTCATGCACACAAGTGTACGCACGGTTGACTGCAGGAATCGTAGTCAAATAAAATTATTTTGATAATTTGAAAGATTGAATTTGTTTTTGATTTCTTATACCTCAAAAATATACTTAGATACATAGAGTAATTAGACTTAGATATGAAATAAGAATACCTACTCTAAAGACTCCTTGGCACTGGAAGCCCTCTACTGGCAGTGAGATGTTAGCTGTGGACTTTGGGCTAGTTTTGTCTGTTATCTTACCTCCGGACTTGATGAAGTGACCTGAAGGTGTACTTCTGTAGCTAATACTTCAACAACTGGACTAGTAGAACTAGGTGTACCGAGTTTGGGCTTGTTTTGTTAGGTATGATGAGTCCTTACCTCCAGACTTGACGGAGGGACCTGAAGGTGTACTTTGGTAATCGCTATTGGAAATCGTCGCCGAGTACTAAAGGTGTGTCGAGTTTAGGCTTGTTTTGTTAGGTATGATGAGTCCTTACCTCCGGACTTGATGAATGGTAATCGCTATTGGAACTCGTCGCCGAGTAGAACTAGGTGTGCTGAGTTTGGACTTGTTTTGTTAGTTATGATGAGACCATACCTCCGGACTTGATGGTCTGACCTGAAGGTGTA